CCGGAGCCGTAGCGGGGCTCCGCGGCCCGGGCGCCTGGATTCAGCGGCCCCGGGCGGCTCCCAAGAACTAGGCGTGATCCCGTTCCCGGTTCCTCTCAGGTTTGGCATGAAAAGTGCATTTCGAGACACGGCAAACGTGGAAAATGTATCGGCCCGCTCTTAAAACACCCCTGCGGGCAAACGGCTGCCAGCGTATTTGCTCCTGCTTTCTGGCGGCCGAGGGCACACGATGTATCGACAGCAGAGTATTTCTGTGGCTTTGGCATACGCCTATTTATTATTCCCACGTTCTTTTACGAAATAGTGAATAGGATTTCCCTCTCTTCCCCCCCTGTGACTTGGCTTAATTTTTTTTTTTTAAATATAATTTTAAAAGGGAAGGTGGAATGTCAGCACTTCAAAGCAGTATGTGCTAGGGGATAAAAATAATGTACCTGGATAAATAAAAACAGAAATCGATAAAAATGTGTTTTGAATCTGTAGTTAGTAAGTTTATATAGGTGTTTCTGATTGCCATGTCCTTTATGATACGAGTCTGATTTCAGGCTCGTGCTTTGCTTATTTGTTTTACTTCTGCTCGGTTAATAACACAGGTCTTGTCTTTTTTCAACTTCGGATAGTTTCTCAACTCTGGATGGCCAAGTTCTCAAACTAAAAGGAATAAAATGAAATGCAAAACCTCTTCTCTTTGCAACCACAAGACAACTGTTTAAAGCTGTTTGTTTTCAACAAACTTGAATTTTGGGGGCTTAGCTGATGAGTTCTGCCAGTTTGGTAATACAGCTTTCTTAATGCTGTATGTGTGAGAGTTTAGCAAACAGGAAGTTCAGCAAACGTTCCCTTGCGCTGCAAAGATTCTTAGAATTAGCAAAAAAAAAAAAAAAAAAAAAAATGGGATCCAGCAGCATTTGGTAGCTCTGAGGATTTTTGAATGTTCATGAAAGACAGCTGTAAAGAGAGGCTATTCCTTGAAATTTATGGTTGTGCTACTGTGCAGTGCTTATGTTGTAAGAATGAACAGGCAGGGAGCAGTATGAAGAACAATGGTTGCTAAAATATGTAATTAATAAAAATAATTACATATGTGCTTAAACATGCAGATTAAAATCAGAGGAATGGTTTATGTGTAGTAATTAGATACCTTTAAAATCACACCTCCTTTGTAGGCAACACAACTGCTTTCTCTGTGCTTGTCAAGTTACAATGCCTGGCGCTTCTTAAGTGGAAGAGGGTTTTAAAATGTGTGTGTGTGTGTGTGTATATACATAGAACTTTTGGAGAAAAAAGCTTTGTTTGACTGATTTATGTTGCCTATGCAGCATGAGTGCAGGAATAGGAAAATGGGAGGATTCATTGTAAGCATGTGGTTTATCAACAGTGTTTATTAGCGAGCTCTTACAATGTTGTTGCTTCATATGTCCGTGTTATGTTCAAATAGAAAATCAAGCAACTCTCAGACTTAAGTCTGCTAGCTTGGAAATTAATAGAGGCAAAATTAAGTTATGAATTGATTTAACAGTTATTAATATAGCTACTTTTATGTCAGGTACTTTTCAGGAGTGTAATGGTGCTTATATATTCTTTAGGAAACGTCAACTTTCTTACTTCAGCAGAAAATTAATTTGTATTTATTATATAACATGGAAAACTTTTTTTCTTGATTGCAGACAGCTGTGAATGAGGTGGACACAGGAGTGGTAACAGATTTCTTGTTGACTATGTGAATACTGAGTGGGGAGCACAGGGATGGAGTCTGGCATGGAGGAGATCCCAGTTAAAGTTGCAGTTCGAATCAGACCTCTGCTTTCCAAAGAAATACTTCATAACCACCAAGTGTGTGTGAGATTAGTCCCAAATACACAACAAATTATCATTGGGAAAGACCGTGTCTTCACTTTTGATTTTGTATTTGGCAAAAACTCAACCCAAGAAGAAGTTTATACTGTTTGCATTAAGCCGCTTCTAGTGTCTTTGACTGAGGGATACAATGCTACAGTGTTTGCATACGGACAGACAGGTTCTGGGAAGACTTACACCATTGGAGGTGGCCACATTGGTAAGTTGTAGAAAGTTTGGGGGTTTTTTAAACTGGTGAACAATGTATTTGTGCAAGTTAAATATTTAATACATAGCAGATGATGCTGCAGAATTCTTAAGGGCTAATGAAAAAAGGTACAGTAAAAAAAATGCTTCCAAAGTTTTTGTAGTAATTAAACTGTTCTAAAAACAAATTCTCCACAAATTAGACTATGCTAAAAATATCTTAAGAAGAAAACAATTTATAAAGTGCTCTTTCTCATTCCCCGTTTTAACATGCAACTTAAACTAGAATTTCTTCCTGAAATGCAGTGTTTTGGAGATTTCTTGCTACATTTATCTTACCTTGCAAATGTCTGCATTAGGCAATTAATTGTTTGCTTGCTCACTCTTTGCTTTTTTTTTGAGACATTTCTATGACATCATAGAAATTTACAATTTAAGTCTTCCAAATGGATATAAATAGATTATTCTAAACCTCTTGGTAGGTATTAAAATTTTCCTTTTATTTAGAATCATAGAAACACAGAATAATTTAGGTTGGAAAAGGCCCTTAAGATCATTGAGTCCAACTGTTAACCTGGCACTGCCCAGTCCACCACTAAACCATGTCCCTAAGCGCCACATCTACACGTCTTTTAAATACCTCCAGGGATTTACTCAACCACTTCCCTGGGCAGCCTGTTCCAATGTTTAACCACTCTTTCAGTAAAGACATTTTTCCTCACATCCAATCTAA